TCTCGTCGCTGCAAGTCTCAACAACGTTAAAATCATTCAAGAACAGAGTCGCCAGCGGGTCAATCTCACGCGCCGCCGCAAAGAACCCGTACGACGCGTTTTTACCCAATCGGCTTTCGTAGAAGTCGAAATGAAGCATCTCGTTGCTCACGTCCCAGTTCACGAACTCTCCTCTGTACCGAGTCATCAGGCTCGTGATTCTCCGGTTAACCGCTAACCGGAGATCTTCTCCGGTTAAGTTACGAACCCAATTAGGAGTGTATTTAGGATCTTCCCAGAAAATGTTGTGTCCACGAGCAATGATCTTGTTGGCTCGAACGAAGTTCAACATTTGATCGGAGATTGTGTAGTTGAGCTTGCCTTGATCTGGCTCTGTTGCGTACCATTTCAGCTCGTTCTCGAACACCGTCGCGTCGAATCTCTTGACGAACCATTCCTTCAAGAAACAGAGATTATTATTAGAGAATACAAGCAAAACAAAAAATTGTTCAGGAAGTGGTTTTACTTGGTAAGGAATGTTTCCAAGAATGGTTTTGGAGATGGCTGATCCAATGGGGAAGTCTTTAGAGTTCTGTTCTACATTGATCACTGCTCCTTCAACACTCTCTCCGTTTTCTTTGGACACGTGAATTGTCACTGCTCGTTTTCTTGCCTGAAAAAATGTTTTGGTACTTAAAACCAACATCAAGAATGTATGTAGTTTTTCGATTTTGATGTTAGAAAGTTTTTCGTATTTTACGGTATTGATGAAGTAATCTTGGTTCTTCCTCCATTGCTCTTGCGTGAAAGGCTGAAGTGAGGCACTGGCTACGTCTAATTGGATCTTACCATCGTCGTTTGATATCTGCATTATCAGAAAAGTTGGCAAATTTTGGATCGTCTCTAATCAAATCTTTTGAGCATTTTAGATGTGATGTTACCTCGAAGAAGAGGATGGATTGTTTGGAAGGAGAATCAAGAAGGAAACCGCCTTTGAGGAAAGACCAGCAACCATGTTTTGCAGAAACAGAACCAACGCAGTTTAATGTGGCATTGTCTGCTTTCAGTTTTGCTATTATACGAGCTGATGCAGCACCAGACTCTATCTTCACCCAAACTGTTTTTGCATAAACTCTCAAATGGATCAGATCATCACATTCATTCATTTGTTAAAAATGTATATTATAGTGTGAAAAATACTTAACTGGAGAAGCAATAGATTGTGTTTTGAGTGAGATTGTGCAATATGTAAGCTGGTGAGTAACGAGCACCAACGCTTGTGTCTGAAACAGAAGGTTCTTTGTCTTTAAACATTCCTCCACTGTAGAGTGGCTTCTCTGGTTCTGCTTTACACTGCTCAATCATTTCTGTTATTTTTTTTTTCTCAGAAAACAGATACTTTATAAAATATGAGCAATTCGACAATATCATATCTTATGAAATTGTAGAAATTTAAAAGCTTTTAGACCTCTGTGTATGCAGTAGAATCGTAGAAAGGTCCGTCTGTATATACATGAAGATTAATTAAACATCTATTGATCAAGCTAAAATCCTGTTC